CCCTCCAAACTGGTCCCATCTCCCCCCTAAAAATCCTGCCTGCTGCCCCTAACCTGGCCTCACCTGCCCCTCCTAAGTCCCATCTCCCCCCCCAGACTAGTTCCACTTGACCCCCTTGCTGTCCCCAAACTGGACTCACCTGTCCCCCCAAGACTCTTCAGCTCCTCTAAACTGGTCACATCTGTACTGCCCCCCCTACACCCCAGTCCCCCTGACTGGGGGGGTGAGACCCACCCCCAGTCTCACCTGTCTCCCTATGCCCCACCTGTGCACTTCTTGCCCCATATCCCACCTGTCCCCACCCCCCACCATGTCCCTCTCATCCCCAGGTGTCACCTGTCCCCTCTCACCTGCGCACAAAGTGCATTTGGTTCCCGCAGATGACGTCCAGCAGCAGCCGCTCATAGGCATCCGGCAGCTTCACATCCTGGGGGGCACCGGGGTGGTCTGTGAGGGTCTGGGGGCACCCCCAGGTGGGGGGACCCTGCCAGGTGAGGGGGGACCCTGGGATTTGGCGATTCTGGGGGCTCCTCTGGGTTTGAGGTGGCCCCAGGTGTGTGGGGAACACCCAGGATTTCAGGGAACTCAGGTGGGTTTTGATGATCTAGGTGGGTTTTGGGAACCGCCCCAGCTGTGGGGAACCGCTTGAGATGTGAGGTCTCCATCCCCAGTTTTGGGGTCTCAACATTCCAATTTTGGTTTCAACACTGCAGTTTTGAGTCTCAGTGTTGTGATTTTGGGGTTCCAGCTCCATTTCTGGGTCCACGAACCAAATTCTGAGTCTCAATGCTCCATTTTCATGTCCCAAAACTCCATATCTGGGTCCCCAAACCCCATTTTTGCATCTCAAATCTCCATTTTTGTGTCCCCAAATTTCATCTCCATGTCCCCACCCTCATTTCCATGTCCCCACCCCCATTCCTGTGCCTTCTGCCCATTTTGGGTACCTTGTAGCGGCTGCCGTAGGTGAGGTCGAGCTCAGACTCCTCCGGTCGCAGGAACATGCCCGGTTTCTTGGTGTTGAGTTTGGCATAGACAGCCTCACGCGGCTGCACCCGCACCACCAGCTCGTTGCGCTTGCACTGCCGTGCAAAGATGTCCCCAGGCACCTCCCGGAACTGCAGCCGCACCTCGGCCTTGCGCTCGTTCAGCGCCTTCCCACAGCGCAGCACAAACGGGACACCTGGGGACAGAGGGGAGATGGCATAGCTGCAATTGTCATCATCAATAACGTCATTGTCATCACTGGCATCATCGTCATCAACATCCATCAACATCCCAGCGCCTTCCTCCAGTGCAGCATGAACGGGACACCTGGGGACAGTGGCATCGTTGTCATCATTGTCATTGTCACCATTGCTATAATCATCAGCATCACCATGCATTAACATCACCATCAACGCTGTCATCAATATCTATCAATATCACCATTGTCATTGTCATCACCGTTGTCATTGTCATCATCATCATTAACATCAACATCACCTTTGTCATCATCAACATCATCCCCCATCACTGCAGCCACACCTTGGCCTTGCGCTCGCTCAGCGCCTTCCCACAGCACAGGACAGAGGGGACACCTGGGGACAGTGGCATTGGCATTGTCATCACCACCAACTTCCATCAACATCATCGTCATCATCAACATCCATTAACATTGTCATCATTGCCATCATCACCATCCCAGCACCTTCCTGCAGCGCAGCATGGAGGTGACACCTGTGGGGTTGTCATCGTGGTCATCGTTGTCATTGTCATCAACAACACTGATGTTATCAACACTGCCATCTTTAACATTGACATCATCATCATTGACATCATCATCAGTCACATAATCTCATCACCTACACTGTCATCAGCAGCAGCACCACCAACATTGTCAACATCATCAGTCATCGACACCCATCAATGTCCATCAACATGGTCATCATCATCAGCGTCCATCACCACCATCAACGACACTGCCAACGTTGTCATCATCCACATTGTCGACATCCATCAACATCACCACAATCATCATAATCAATGACCAACACCACTGCATCATCATCATCAACATCCATTCACCAACATCATCATCGAAGTCATCAGCATCCATCAACATTATCACCATTGTCACCATCATCATCATCCATCAATGTCATCACAATTCTCACCACCCATCATCACCACCACCCATCCCCATCCCAGCGTGTTCCCACAGTGGAGCACTTAACAGCATACCTGGGACACCATTGGCATTGTCACCACCACCACCATCATCATCACGGACATCACCATGGCTCATCATCTCCATCATCATTTCAGCCATCACCATCATCAGGTGGTCAACACCTCTGTCATCCTCTGGTCATCAATGTCACTATTGGCCATCACCATCATTAGTACCATCTCCATGGTCAGCATCACTATCACCATAACCAGCACCATCTCCATGACCGCCACCATCATCATCACAGCCATAATGTCATCACCATGGCAACTGTCATCATCATGGTCATTGCTGCCATCATCATCACGACCACAAATGTCATCACCATGGCAACAATCACCATCACATCCATCACCATTACCACTGACACCCTCTCTCACCGTCCCAGCGCTCATTGGCCACACGCAGCACAGCAGTGGCAAAGGTGGGTGTGGTGGAGCCGGGGGGCACCGTGGGGTCGTCCAGGTACCCCTTCTGTGCCTCGGGGGGGCCCTCAGGGTTGCCCACGTACTGGCCCAGCACCACGTCCTGCAGCTCCACTGGGCTGATACATTTGAGCACCTTCACCTGGGAGACAGGTGAGGGACACCTGGTTATAGGGGCTCCAGTGAGACCACGGGGTGGGACTGGTTGGGGACGTGATTATGGGAAAGTAAGTACAGGCAATGGGATGGGAGTGTGGAGGATGCGGCCATTGGAGGATATGGTTTTGGGGGTCATCAACAAGGGGGTGGTGATAGGATGTGGTCTGGGACATGGCCACAGGAGTCGTGGCATTGGGGTCCACCATTGATAACAGGATGATAGGATATGGTTGGGAACATGGTCAGTGAGAATGTGGCCATGGGGAATATGGTTTGCGGGGGGCACTGTCAATAACGGGGTGATGGAAGATAGTTGGGGATGTGGCCATGGAGGATGTGGCTTGGCTTTGGGGGCCACCATCAAGAACATGGTGGTGGAACATGACTGGGGTGGGGGGATGTTGCTATAGGGGGACACAACCCTGGGGCCACCTGGAGATGGTCCCTGTGGCCATGACCGTGATGTGACCATCAGGGACATAAATCTCAGTGATCGGTGAGATGTCAGGGGGTGGTGACACCTTGGTGACACCCCAATGTCCCTGCTGTCCCCACCTTCTCATCGCGGACGTCGTCGGGGTTGGTGGACGCTGGCTTCTCCATGGCCACGAGGCAGAGCAGCTGCAGAAGGTGGTTCTGCATCACGTCCCTGTGGGGAGCCAGTGCTGCCACGGGGTCAGGGGACACAGGGGGACGCGGAGGGGACACGGGGACACCAGGAGACACCCATCCTCACCGGATGATGCCAAAGTCATCAAAGTAGCCGCCACGGCCCTCGGTGCCAAAGGGCTCCTTGAAAGTGAGTACCACGCAGGCAACGTTGTCGCGGTTCCAGATGGGCCCGAAGATGCGGTTGCCAAACCTGGGGTGGGTGAGGGGTGAGTGAGGAGTCGTGTGCTTGTCCCCATTTCCCCTCCTGTGTCCCCATCCCGTGTCCCTGGCGCACCGCAGCACCATGAGGCTTTGCACCATCTCCTTGCCCAGGTAGTGGTCCATGCGGTAGATTTGCTCTTCGCGGAACAGTGCGCTCAGGTGCGCTGACAGCTCCTCCGATGAGCCCAGGTCCCGCCCGAACGGCTTCTCCACGATCACACGGTTCCACCTGAGAACAGGGATGTGGGGATGTGAGAGCAGGGATGGGGGGACACAGGGAGACATGGGGGAATATGGGGACACAAAGGACACGGATGTGGGGAAACATGCAGAGACACAGGGGACATGGGACATATGGGGACACAAGGAACATGGGGGGATATGGGGACACATGGGACATTAAGAGATGTGGGGACATGGGGACACATAGGCACAGCGGGACACATGGGGAGATGGGGGGACATGAGGACACACGGGCACGCACCGTGGCACACAGGGATGCAGCAGGTGTGGGGGTACATGAGGGCACAAGGACACACAGGGATACACACAAGGAACATGAGGACACACAGGGACACACAAGAATACACGAGAGACATGGGGACACGGGATATGGGGGACATGAGGAATGTGCAGAGATACAGGAGGACATGGGGACATGGATATGGGTGGACAGTGAGGACACAGACATGGGAGGTGGGACATGGTGACAACCCAGCCTGTGTCCCCTGCAGTCACTCACCCTGTGAGTGTCCCATCACTGGGTGTCCCCATGTCCCCACTCAACCCTGTCCCATGCACAGAACCCTCAGGTGTTGTATCACAGGTGTGTCCCCATGCTGTCGCCATATCCCACTCACCCCTGTCCCATGCATAGAGCCCTCAAGTGCTGTGTCACAGGTGTGTACACGCTGGGGGGCAGGGCCAGGTAGAAGAGCCGGTGGGCGCGGTCACCCCCAGGCAGCCCCCGCAGGTGAGCATCCAGTGCCCGGAACGAGGCCTCATCCCCATACTGACCCCGCACGAAGCTCTGCAGGGACAGGAACGTGGCCAGGCGGGGCCCATCCTCAGGGGTCACCTGTGGGGGACACACAGGGACAGCAGGTGAGACAGGGACAGGAACATGGCCAGGCAGGGACTGTCCACAGGGGTCACTTGTGGGGACACACAGGGACAGGGGACAGGTGAGACAGGGAACACAGGGAGTGTCCTCAGGGGTCACCTGTGGACACAAACAGGGACAGGTGGAACAGGGGACAGGTGAGACAGGAACGTGGCCAGGTGGCGTCCGTCCTTGTGGGTCGTCTGTGGGGACAGACTGGGACAAGGGACAGGTGAGACAGGAAACACAGGGAATGTCCTCAAGAGTCACCTCTGACAGGTAGGGACATGTGAGGGGACACAGGAACAAAAGGCCAGGCAGGTCACCTATGGGGCCAGGAACGTTCAGGTGAGGTCAGGAGGGGACAGGTGAGGCCAGGAGGGGTTAGGAGGGGACAGAAGAGACAGGTGCAGACAGCGCTGTCACCTTGAGGTAAGGAAGGGTCTGCTCCCGGATGAGCTCCACACTGAGGGGTGAGCGGGCGAAGCCAACAACGCGCGTGGCATCGGGGAGGAGCCCGTCCCGGAACAGCCACCTGGGGATGAGGGACAGCGCTGTCACCTGTGTTCCCTGTGTCCCCAAAGCCCCCCAGAGACACCAGCATCAGGGGATGCCTGTCCCAGAAGAGCCACCTGTGGGAACAGCACTGTCACCTGTGTCACCAACCCCCTGGGGACACCTCCAGCACTTTCACCATGCCCAGGGACAGCAGCCAATGGGAGCAGGGAGGACCCTCTCCCAGAACAGCCACCTGCGGGGACACCGCTGTCAACAAACCCCCCAGGGACACCCACAGCACTGTCATCACCCCCCTCTGGGCCTGAGATGACACCGACATCACCAACACTCTCAGGGTGGTGACACCGGTAATGGTGGTTCCTGTCCCCGTGTCACCCTGGGAGAGGTAACACAGGGACAGGTGACACAGAGAGGACAGAAGCAGCAAAGGGAGGAACTGGGGACACCAGCATCATACTGGGGACATTGATGGCCCTGGGAACACTGGGGTCATACTGGGGACACTGGTGCCAGCTGACACAAGTGGCCCTGGGGGTAGTGGGGACACACAGCTGTGGCGACACCGAGCACAGCAGACAATGGCAGCACTGCTGACTAGCAGCACTGGGGACAGCAGTGATTGACATTGGTGACCCTGCTGGACCGGAAGGCCCTGGCGATATCAGTGACCCTGATGACCCTGGAGACAGGTGGGGACAGCCAGGACTTCAATGGCTCCGACAGCCCCAGTGACCCGGGTGATATCAGGGACCCTGGGGACAGGTGGAGACATTGGTGGCCTTGGGGACATGAGTGTCCCTGGTGACCCTGTGGACAGGAGGGACATTGAGAGCCCTGGTGACCCTTATGGCCTCAGAATCAGGGGCACATTGGTGGCCTTGGTGACCCTGGGGACAGGTGAGGACATCAATGGCCTCAATGACCCAGGGGACAGGGAGTGGACCTTGGTGGTCCTGGGGCCACTAATGACCCTGGTTGCCTGGCTAGCAATGGGGACGTGGGGGACCCTGCTGACAAGTGGAACGCAGGTGGGCTTGATGACACCATCGTTCCTATCGTCCCCTCTGTGTCCCCACTGTCCCCAGGTGTTCCTGGGTGTCCCCGCTGTCCCCCAGTGTCTCCATTGTCCCACTGTCTCCTTGATGTTCCCATTGTCCCCAGGTGTCTCCGCTGTCCCCTCAATGTCCACGCTGTCCCCAGGCGTCCCCATACCAGATCGTGGGGTAGATCTTCTTCCTGGCCAGGTCGCCCTGTGGGGGAGGGGCCGTCAGGGGTGGGGGAGGGGCCGGGGCCGCACGCAGCTCTGGCCCCGCCCTTCCC